ACAACCCAATCCTGCTTGGTGAATCCAGGTTAAAAGCATTTCTTCTTCCATGGTTTCTAGGTTGATACTGGATGGTGCTCCACTTATAGCTATCCACAAAGCCCGATACTATAAGAGGAAAGATGGCTTGGCTCTGGGACCTGGACCGTTTGTAACTGGTCTGGAATATGCCACAGACTCCAAAGCTACAGTAGTAGGGAAACCAGAGAAAACATTCTTCCTAGAAGCCTTACGGGGGACTGGCTGCACACCAGAAGAAACTGTGATGATTGGCGATGTAAGTATAAAGGCAGGGCAAGTGCCTGATTCTTTTATACCCTTTTCCACAGCATGCATGTGTCTTTCAGACACCGACAGACTGACTTTTCCAATACCCTGGGAGGTTGATTGGAGGGAACCGATTCACAAACACTTGAGCTCTGATCCAGTGTCCATTTATTTAATGCTGTGTCTTCAGCGGCCATGAATCAGGCCCTAAATATCTAGTCTACGGTCACACAGACCGTCTGTAGCAGGGGATAGAAACCACAGCTCCTGAGAACCCTGCTAGCACATGCCACCTCCATATAAGCATTGTCATGAGCATGCATCCATCACAGGCAAGAGTAGTGGGCCAGCTGTGAAGGCAGGAGGAAATCCTGAGCCTCAGACAGTGAAGGCAAGACTCAGGCTGCCACAGCAAGGACACTGGGACTGGATCTATGATGAGTAACCACGTGTGGGAAAGACACAAGACTGTGACAGGTTGGAGGGGCTGGGACAGAAAAGCCAAGCTTTGGAGATAGAGGTGGAAGTCTGCGCGCGTTTAAGCATGCTACTTTAGTATCTGGCACAGAGCCCAGGATTCCTGAATCTCAGCCCTCTGCCATCAGCAAATGCTTGTGACACTTACTGCCTAGGTCTGCTCCCTGTTACTCCATTGGTTCAGGCAGCAGAGGTTTGAGCAGCCTAAAAACGGTTCCAGCCGTATTGATGATCGATGCAAGAAACAAGGCTCAGGGGCTGCTTGCTGAACAGTGAGAACAGAACAAAATGCAGAATGGCTGTTTATTAATGGAGCTCCATCCATCTGTTTGTCGAATGAGGCAGGGCCACTGTAGGAAAAGAGTATGTGACTTATTGTTAGGTCTCACCATGGCTAGGTACTGACCACCATAGGAATATCCATTAACACGTTTCTGTGCCTTTCCTGTTGTGTCCAGGACTGCAGGGATGATGTTGGTGGGGCCCAGAATGCCGGCATGCTGGGTATTCTAGTGAAGACTGGTAAGTACCCTGCAGATTTTGACATCTTGTGATATTTTTGGGCTCTGGTATCTTCCCTCTGGCTTCCCAACTACCCAGCGGCTTCAGAGAAAGACAGATCTTTGCCACAAGCCCCAGGTCTTAATCACGTGGAGAATGGAGATCCTCCAGCAGGGACCTCGGTCTTCTGTCACTGGAACGTGAGCATGTGGCTGTTGGTAGGCTCTGAGCACACTATGGTAGAAGAACTTGCTTCAGAATATCCTCTAGGTCCCAACTTCAGCTGCCAGAAACAGGAGCTGGCAGCTCCTCAAAGATAGCACTGTGATCAAGAAGCCTGAAAGCTTGCCTGCATCCCTCCCAGCTGTAGAGCTGGTCCAATATAAGAGATCACCAAAAAAACCCCAACCCCTTGCTTCTCTTACAAGGACAGTTATGCAAATCGTTCTGTTTCATACACTGGGACCTAATAGGACTGAGAATTACTGTCATTTTAATTATATTGTGGTAGCGCCCCAGTGTGCCAGGCACTGTTCACACCACTAAACACAGCATGTGCAGAGCTAAATACCACATTTATATCTCTAGCTTTGCTTGTCCTTGTGCCCAAGAAATCACAGCGGCAGCTGAACCAGCTGTTTCTGCCACGCGCTGGAAATGGAGGTGGGGCACCAGGCACCATGGACTGAAACTCCTAGTTACAGGGAACACTTTAGACTGAAAGCAGCTTTGTTAAAAGGACCTCTTTGTTCTTTCCTAACAGGTAAATATCGGCCAGAAGATGAAAGCAAAATCAGTCCCTGTCCTTACTTAACCTGTGAGAGTTTCCCAAAGGCCGTGGAGCACATTCTACAGCACCTGCTGTGAGACGAGAGTGTTGCGGTGGAAGAAACCAGGCTCTGTTTTCACACTGTTGCCTTTGTTCCCCACCACACCCCTCAAAGCAAAGAAATGTCCAAGCATCAATGTGCAAACTACACCTGCAACCAAGAGAACAGGCTTCGCTCTAGAGCACTGAAAGGAAATGGAACCAACCTGCAGCTTAATGGAAAAGCCTTGGTAAAAACACAAAGATGAAGCACTGAGCAAGGAAAAACAGGTCTCAGGTCAGCTCAGGGAAAGAAAACCAAGTGGCAGATGAAACAAATTGCTTTTGTGCATTATGTGGGGAAAGGAAAGTGACAACGCTTTTTCTCTTTGACTCCTAGGAAATCACAGATTTAAAGGCTCATCTGAAATGTGCTAAGTGAGCTAAGCCGGAGAACCCACCAAAAATAACCTAAACAGAGCAAAACAGGCATTTCCAGCCTGAAACAGCAGCAGCTATGTTGGTAGGTTTGTGTTACTTGCCATGTGTCTCCTCTCTACTCTGATCCAATTTAAATGTAGAGATGAGGCACATTTAGGAGTGACTTTTAATTTAAAATATTGCCATTATTAACAGTACTCACTGATGATTTCTGTCCCCTCATTAGAGCAGGTAACATTGGCTTTTGTTTTTCAAATTTTATGTAAAATTAAAACTATCAGTATTTTACAGATGTTTTAATTAGATGCCGTTATTAACAGGAATGGTGCAGAAACAAAAATCTGGTCCTTAATGGCTTATAGACCATGAATTTTTGAAGTTAGACTGCAACAGGGTCCTATTAGTGCTACCGTTGCAAAATTTCACTGTTATTTTTTTTCTTTATGATGCTCTGGGAAAAATCCTTCATGAGCCGTGGGGACAGATTCCGACTTTTATGCATTTGGTTAGTACAGCTGGAAAATGACATTTCATTCCGTAGCCTGCATTGCTTTTCCTGCACGTGCTAAATCCACCAGAATGAACTAACTTTCTAATGATGGTAAATGGCTTTCCTGGTGCATTTGCAAACTGTAATAATCAAAGTCCCTTGCAGTTGTTTTACAGTGCTCCTGAGTGTTAAATTATTACACTGTAACTGTACATCATTGTAGTATTCACCTTATTGAAAATACAGCTTTGTGTTAATGAGCCACACCGATTTTTGTTAAGAAAAGCCATTATGATGAATGTGGAGCAGGCTCCACATAAATGAAGGGTCTTGCTGTCGCTTTGTTGCGTGGCCACATGTAACGTGGAGCTGATCTCTGCAGATGCCAAGTGACGTAGCATGAACATATGGGTGCACTGTGGAAGCCGTGCAAGAGGAATGCAAGCAGCAATGGCAGTTCTTTGATGCAGGGATGGTCCTTTTGCTGGGTGTGTGTACCAGGCACCGGACATTGGCATCCTGGTGTTGTGTGGCTGTAGTAAGAAGTGAAAGAAAGGGTGCTGAATGGCCAATGGTTCTGTGTGCAAGATGTAGGTTGATTTTGCTCAGGTACCTAGACCAGACCCTTGGCTCCTGTGTGGGTGGCCTAAAGAAGGGGAGCTGGGAGGGGAGTAAGCATGGAAACACTCCTTCTGCCAGGACCCTTCCAAGTTGGATCTTCTGTGTTGCTGGAACATAAGCATTGGAAACACTCTGCTTTACCATTGTGAGTGAGCTAGCTAGGTAGTGTGAGGGTTACCACAAAAGTGCTCAAATATACAACTCCACCCAGGTACAAAGAGTTTCTTAAAAAAAAGATCTCCATTTTCTTTAACTTTCCTCTACAAGGAGCTACCTTGTCTCCTCCTCCTCAAGATTAGGGTCTCCCATAGTCTTGTGCAGGTTGCACTACAGAGAGAACATGGCTCAGCCCTGTAGCACTGCTTGACACTTGCAAGGTTTTGTATACTGAACTTCCAAAAAATAAGTAGCCACTGGCCCTCCCAATGCACTGTCCCCTCCAACACCTTTAACTCCACAAATATGCCCAACCCCAGCCTTTACTTTTGCTCTCCTCTAGTAACAGCTCCTCTTCAGTTTGTGCATCACCCATCTTTGCGAATACCTTTTAAAAAAAAAAAGCCTGAACACCTGGCTTCTAAAGACACCACTTAACATAATTACATTATGAACATTAAAAGAGAAAAGGAAGGAGGGAAATTGTGATAATAAAATACATTCTATTACTGGATTTGGGCAAGATGGGCTAATATGCAATTTAAGTTATGCCCCAATTCCTTTAAGAGTAATTTACTGATGATCAATGTCATTTGCCTTCACCAGGGTGTTGCAGTATCATTCCACGAAGCCAAACCTTTATTTGGATAAAACATTTGCCCAAAGCACATTGGATGAGCTGGACAAAACACCTTGGCACATGAACAAATCACAGCCCAGATCAAAGTGGCATCCAGGTAACAGCCACAAGGCAAACACAAGATGCCAAGGTTTATCCCAGGGGGAACAAATCATTTCTGCCTCACTGTTGGTTGCAGTGTTCCTGGCAGTAAAGAGCCAGACTAGCTTGAGTGCAAGAAATCCCTGAGAAGCAAAATTTTATTGGTCTTCTAGCTCTTCCTCAGCTAGCTCACTTCCATCTCCCTCAAGAAGAGAAAATCAGCTGCAATGAATATAGATTGCAGAAGACGAGTCATTTTGCAGTAATTTATGCATAAAATATGTGCTAAAAACTTCATAGCACATTAGCTGTAGGGTGGTACTATCATGAAGAATACCACTTGTTTGCCAGAAAAATTATAAATAAAATGCACCTTATAGATTTGAAAGTGCAGATTCTGTCACCCAGAGTCTCCTGCATTCTTTCTTTCTTTCTTTTTTTTTTTTAATAGTTTTTCCTTCCGAGTTTAGTCCTTCCGAATGCAGCCAAACCCAAGGAGTTGTCATCTTGGAGCATGGGTTCCTCTGATTTTAGCCCAATGCTGGCTCAAACTGACTCAAATTCCCTCTGCCAGGCCGTGTACTTCTGACTTAAATTCTTTGCCGATGGCTTAGTGTGAGCAATCACATCCAGGAAATCCGCTGTTGTGACCGTGTCCAGTCGGATTATGGGTAAAGTACTGCTACCTGGTGAGAGAAAATAGACCAGTGTTGAAAGTGAATGAGATGTTGATCAGTACCAAGTTGCTCTATTAAAACAGTGAATAATGCAGCACATCTAACTTAAGGCACTAATCAGAAGAGTGGAAATAGCAGAAGAAATTGTGCTAGTGCACAGAAACCGACAGGTCCGAGGAATGGCCTGCTTTTCAGAAACGTTGGCTGGAAGTCTGTTTTTACAAATACAGTTTAAAACACTTCAAAGCAGATGAGAGAGCTCCACCTGCTGGATCGACTCCCTCAAGTGAGAACATCAGGTCGGCATCGCTCAGCTCTGATGTCTGTGGGAGAGGTACTCACCGGGCTGATGATTCTCAAGGGCACTGAAGATTTTCCTCACTGGCCGCATAGCTGCTTCCTTGCAGACCAGTTTAATGTCCGACCCCGAGTACCCTCCGGTCTCCTAGCACGAGATCAAAATGACAGGCTGCAATTCACAGGCTTGCTGATGAGACACTTGTACAGCTTTATACATCACGTGTTTTCTGTCGTGTTATTCAGCTCTTGAGTAGTGCAGATGCTGTTCACGGGAATTAGCCAATCGAGCAAAATATCGCGCTTGGCTTCTTAAGGGCAGGTCAGATATCTGTCTCCTACTGACTGCAACAGGAGGTAGATACCTCCCTCCCTGTAATGGTTTGGACATGTTTGGGCTGAGAGGTCCCCACTGAGATTGAAGTCCCTTGTGCTAGCCTCTGTATGAACAGTGGAGCAGACTTCCCAAGCTAAGAACATTAAGAACTGATGCCCCAGAAACTCTTTACTGACACTCCTGCCTTTCATGCTGGAGCTGGAACAAGTTTCCTCCTCTATCGAGTACTAGATTATGCTCTACTGTGCTCTGCTGCAAGGAGCAGAGCAGAGCATATGGGAATTACTGTGGGAACATGGTATTTCTGGACCAAAGGCCATGGCAGTCAACATCAGACCTGATCCTTGGAACTAAGATGCAAACTTTTTCACCAGCAGACAGGGCATTGGTTCACTTCCTGATAAGTGCTTAGTGCTGTGGCCCTTGCTGTGATCCTCCTTTTCATGCATTCAAGCATCCGCCTTCATAACTTGAGGTTTATTCCCTTCCCGGTGCCCATGCTGACTGGCTGCAGTGCTAAAACAGTGAAACCTGCCAGCCCTGATTCTCTGCTTTTCCCCACTACTACACAGGTGGAAATTACTGCACTCGGTGAAGCTGCTCCTGGCAGCAGAAGAATCAAGGCCCAGCCAGTCACACAGCTCCTCTTCAGTCTCTCTCATCCTCATATTGAGGGACTGCTAATGCTCAGAAAGCCTTCAAGGCTCTGAGAGGCTAGCTGTGGATTATACCAGCTCCCTTCTTTGCTCACCTGGCCCAGCAAGCCGTAGTCCAGCTCTGTTCTCAGCTCCACTCCTCCGCTGTTGCTCACAGGGGGCAGCCAGTGCTGAATCATAGCCTGCCTTGCTCCTTTATTTGGGAGGTCAACCAGGATCCTCTTCTCCAGCCGTCGCAACATGGCATAATCTAACTCCCTAATGGGAAGAAGACAGGCGGTCAACTGTCGCAGCAACCCACTTTGTTGTGCAAACCATGGAGTTTCAAATGCTTTCTCCATTTGCCTTTTTAAAGCTTCTTGCCTTCACATCAGCCTGATTGTGAGTTGTAATTAATACTCATTGCATTGCTAGTAATTAAATTACTGTTACCATCTTTTGCATATTGCTGGTACTTAAATTGATCTGGCTGGCCACTATGACCCATCATACACAGAGTAGGCAGGTGCTGTTTCTTTTCCTGGCTCTGCTACTGGTGCACAGTGTGTCCCTGGGTCAGTCATAGCACCTCACAGTGTTTCAGCCTCCCCCCTTTGCAAAAAGAGAATATCCCTGCTCGCCTGCCAGGGGTGCACAGAGGCTTAACTGTTCAGGGAGCTTCAGCAAAACACTGATTAGAAGCTTTCTGGCAGGGCCCATCTTTATTATGTGATTGTACAGCACTGAGTACAGCAGGAACGTGACCCATGACTGAGCCTCTCAATATGACTGCAATACAAAGAGCAACACTGCCCAGCAAGACAAGCCACCTTCTACAAAGCCGTCAGGAAGGGGAAAGCTGGAAAAAGAGAAGTATCAGGACCCAGGTTCTCTTCTGGTCTCAGAATATAAAAGGGGATTTGATAAGACAGACAAAAATAGGGGTGTGCTCTGCTCTTATTATCTGTAAGGCCCAAGGAAGGCTTCACAGCAGGAGGATTTAACTGGTCTTCCAGCTGCTTTGTTTCCTAGGAAGTCTCTGCACCAGCAGTTCTAGGGAATCCTCCAAAATGTTGTGTGCCTTGTGCTAGGCACTCCCCACAGGGGAGTGGGCATTAAGCTATCAAAAACCCAACAACTTGTTTTACCCAAGTGTTTTTCAGATGTTGGAGTCTAATAAAAGTTTACGGGAACAAAGTCCCATCCCAGTTAACAAGGTGCCCCTGCCAGCACATAAATCTACTAGTTGTCTTTTTGCTCACAGGATCATCCAGGAAGAACAAAACAAATATCCTTCCTAACAGCTCCCCACAACACATTTACCCTTGTTTATACATTCCTTTACAGGGCTCCGTGAGTAGAAGACACAGCATCACTGCCAGCTCCAGCTCAACCCACTCCCCTCCTGCACACCCCAGGCTTCAGCTGGGCTGGGCTGAGCTTCCACACTCCCGCCTGCCAGGACTGTCCTGGGGGCTCCATTCATCCCAGCATGCTTGTATATAAAAAATGCTCCAGACCTTACAGCTGCAATGTGAAGCTAACTCAGCAGTGTCTAATTAAGTGGGGACAGACAGGCAGACCAACACAGTATTGAGCACTACTTAATATTAGTCTCAGTGGGTCTACCCCAGATGCTTTACTGCACAGCAGACTAATTTTCTGTACAGTAAATTGTCACTGTCTACATGTGCACAGCAATTAGGGTGCAATGGACTAATTTACTGCGCTTCTGAATAGTCCCATCAGATACAAGTGGTATATGGCAACATAGTAAATTACTGCACTTAAAAGCATGTGCAGATAGTGACGCCAGGATTAGTTTACTCCAGCTTAAATTGAGGCAGAGTATATTCAGTTGCATTAATTGCACGTGTAGACACACCTAGTGAGATGCCTCTAGAAGCCCTCTGCTTACAACTCATCCATTCAGTAGAAACAATAAGCTCTTCTGGGATTTGGGGCAACTCCAGGGATTGCAGGAGCAGGCTGAACAAGCCGCCAAAAACCATGCAATTTGCTTTCTGATCTTTGAAGTAAAATCCTTGCCCCACAGAAATCATCAGAACTTTTGCCATTGATGCCAATGGAGTCAAGTTTCCTCACTGTAAGAGGACCACGCTCATTCCACAAAGTAGAAGTGTCAAATGTATGGTCCACAAGCTGGATCTGGCCTGCAGAGCTGATCCATCCAGCTTGCCAGGCTACCAGCAGGACAGTTAATTTGGAGGAGTGGCCAGCACTGAATGGGGCTTGCCACAGGATCTGAGGTCCTGGTGGACATGGCTGTTGGTGACAAGGATTGTGCGACACAGTACTCAGTTGCCCTGTGGCCGCTTGGGCAGAGGTCCAGAGCCAGTCTGGGGCCCAAGATGAGTCAGACACCCCTGCCATATAATGTAGCTGTCAATGCAACACTCCACAGTCTGCCATTTATACCTTAACCAAGGGACAAATTCCAGCATATACAGGAAAACACATGGAATATACTGGGAGCTGAACATGCCAGCATCGCAGCCTAGTCCTGTCACTGTTGGCAGTTGCCTCTGTCCCTGCTCTAATAACATTTTCCATCGATAATCACAACAGAAGCAAAAACCAACTGATCGAACAAAATGGGTGCCTGCAGTTAAGCTTGGAAAATCCCACTGAGATGCCTCAGAGGATTTCCAAGAGGTATGAGTGTCTGGCACCTCCTGCTCAGCTCGCGGGGTGTGAAACTCCTCACCACCTCAGGAAGGCTCTATCAGGTTCTCAATGGTTGTGTTTGATCTGAGCCAAAGAGCAAGTAAACACAGATTAGAAAACAGGCCAGTTCAGGGCAGGTCACTCACACAATTGAACAACTCTAGTCAAAGCCTTGGAAGCAAGACAACCGTACAAAAATCAATGCCTACTGGTCCATATTTATCGATATGCTAAGGAGTGTGTGTTATGTCTATAGTATGCGATTGCAACAGCAGATCGTGGGGCTTAAGCCTTGTGTATTCCCTGTGCACAGGGATGAATCTAGCTAGCACAAGAGCTTTCTTTTGGAACAACCATCAATTAGGAAAGGAGAGAGAGATACGTTAGCCCCGCAGAAAGTCACAAAAGGTACCCCTGCCACCATCTTCCTCCCGAAGTGGAAGGCACGTTATTTGACCTCACCTTCTCCAACAGAAACAGAGCAATACACCCAGCTTGGTGGCACCAAGATGCTGCATGGCACAAGCTTGTCCCCTTGCACCAAGCATCTGAGAACAAACATCACAGAAACAATGTTATCCACAAAGTTGAAGGCATTATTGCAAGGTGCTCGCACCATCACGGTGAGTACAGTGTGAGAAGAGGCAGAAAACAGAATAGAATAACGTGGCACACGCAGGCTAGGCTATTCCAGGTGCTGATCTGTAGTGAAGTCATGCAGAATAGTCCCCTGCAGTTGGCCCAGGACATTTTGCTGACAGCAGAACATTTGGTCACCGTACCGAGTGGCCCCACTTTGCACACATGACGTTCTCACCCTTGACAAGATTCCACTCCACCAAGGAGCAAAGCCTGAAGCAGCCTTGGAGAGCCTAGGTGCCCAGTTGAAGGCAAGGTGCACATCCTGGCAGCCACCAAGTTCTCATTTCAAGGCAGGCATTCAGCCGTTGAGTTTCACTTGATCTCATTCATTCTTTCAAATGGCATCCAGAGGGCATATCCCAGGCAATATCCTTCTCAGCCCACCTGGAATCTTTCTTATTAAGGAATCCAGATGATGAAAATCCAGGTGCTGACATCTTTTCCAGTAAGTATCTCCTTCAGGCACATGCAGTTGATGACTGTAAGGCTCCCTCTCTCAATTCATCTGCACTACCATCTCCCCTCCCCAGCTCCTCCACACTCATAAACAAATCCTATTAGAGTATTCTCAGGATGGGTGGACCCTATTCAATGTATTAGGAGTCTAAATTCACCGTCCTTGAACAGCTGTTAATGCACTTTGATAATACACTGGGCACGTCTATACGTCCATTCACTGCGCAGTAACTTACTGAGCAGTAGGTGGTTTTTAGGCCGGCGGCTACACGTGCAGCCATTAAAGTGCAGTAATGCTGCATGTGGACGCTGTGTGTGGACTGACTTGGGACTAACTGTGTGTGTCCCAAGTCAGTCCACACACAGTGTTACTGCACAGTAAGGCGTCTACACGTGCATTACTGCGCAGTAACTAATTGGGTGTTGTTAATTCAATACCTGCATGATGCAGGTATCAAATTCAGCACCCCCCATAGTTACTGTGCAGTATGGGCATGCACATGTAAATATGCACCTGTACTGCGCAGTAACCTAAATTACTATGCAGTAAATGTGCACGTGCAAATGCACCCACTGTCATTTTAATCTTAACACTAGGTAAAAGAAAAGCAGTGAGAAGGAAGGAAGGAAAGGAGGACACACTCACCAGTGTGCTAATGGCCTCCAGAGACTACAGCAGGTGGAACAAGTTCCTGAAAATCCATGAATATAGAACAGGTGTGGGCAAAATGTAGCCCGCAAGCCGGATGCAGCCCACCAAGCCATTCTATCCGGCCCACGGGGCCCGTAAAAATTTAGAAAATTAATATTAATCTGCCCTGGGCTGCCTGTCATGTGGCCCTCAATGGCTTGCCAAAACTCATTAAGATAATTACTCCACCCAAAATAATTGCCCGCCCCGATATAGGAAGTGGGTGGGTCCTTGTCCTCACCGCATTTTGTGACTCAGCCCTAAGGCTGAGATGCATTAACAGCTGTCCAGGGATCCAGTGAGTGTGGAACAGGATCAGGTGTAAAGATTCAGAGGCCTATATGCCACTTAGGGTTTGTCTGCACCACTTCAGCCACTCACCCCCACCCCTTTTCCTCTGCTGCTGGGTTCACTAGGGTCAACCCTAGTCACTAGAGTTGACCAAAAACCCTGATTTCAGCGGTGAGTAAGAGGGTGGGGGACTTCAATCTGAGAGAAGACCCTGATTTTTTAATCAGTGCAATCCCCTGCACCATGGTTTTCTTACTACACAGGTGAGAAGAAAGGCAACAACAGTACATCCCTCAGAGATTAGTGTAAAGGCTTCTAAGCACCCAGGGAGGGGGAAAAACAAAGCATAGTTAAGGACTACCTTATCATTTAATTAACAAGGGCTCTATTTTATTTAATTAACATTTACTGATTTCAACAAGTAATTTGTCATTGCCCCACCAGGCCATGTTGATGACTAACAGGAAGCCACGTTGGAAACTAGGGAGTAGATTGCTGAATGGGGAAATCA